ATTTTTTTTAAATTAAATTCTCAAAACTGTACGATATTCGAAAGCGAATAAATAATTTACGTACGTGCGTGCTCGCACTTTCGGGCTATTTCAGTTAATTAGTTGTTTAATTATTTATGAAGTTAATCATGAAATAGTTATTCCGCATTTAATTATTTACGTACAATTTTTAATAACAATACTAATAACACTATGACGATATTGATTATTATACGACGTTTTTATCATAAAACATGACTGATAATTAAAAAATCAAAGTTTTTCGTAGGTATCGGGTTAAAATTAAATTCGTCACTTCACATGTAATTAAATAGAAATGTTGTCTTATAACACGAGACTGATAGAAGTATAATTTTGAAAATTCTTAGTACGGACACATCAGAACAAAGTGCGAGTGAAAATTTCAGCGAAGTGTTCGCGCGAGGCGTAAAAATGTGAACCGCCTCGTGTACTGGCAAAGGGGTTATAAAACCATGAAATAGAGAGAGAGAGAGAGAGAGAGAGAGAGAGAGAGAGAGAGAGAACGTAGAGTTGCTGCTGCTATGTAGGTGGCGAGCGGGAAGGAACGGCAATAAATTACCCGCTGCGAGTGTAAAGCCAAGCAAGAGAGGAAGGAGCTAAATGAGAGGAAAAATTCAAGGCGGAGGGAAGAAGAGAGAGGCGAAATAAGGGGAGAAGTTATGGATGAAAACAGTGAGAGGAAAATGGAATGAGGTGTATGGGAAGGTGGTGTTCAGCCATAAAAATATGATTACTAATTTCGTGTTTAATGTGTGATAAGAGAAAGCGATTGTCATTCGTATAATTGGTAAGCAAGTGAGTATACTCCAAGGTTAATATAATCATTAGTCTTATTATTTATAATGTATTGAATAAAAATGTTATTTAATATATTATACAATCTTTTGTAGGAGATTGTTTGATAATCAAACGATGGGAAGTAATGTAAATTATGTAATACGCTGGTGTTGGTCGATTGGTTGGTTGGATTTTCAGAATTTCACTCGTAATATTCATAACGTTCGCATGCTTTATTTTCTGAAACAAACTCCCGATTTAAGGTAGTTATAAAATCTTTTTTTCTTCTCTCTCAATCTGCTCAATACAGTTTATCTTTTGCTTAAACGGTGACTCTTTATTTCACATTTTGAAACAATTTTCCGAAGCCATAAGTATCTCGTTTAGAAAGGCTGCTTCGGAGGAGCAATTTACCGACTGAATATGATGCACGCGAGGCTCCCGAGTAATTTAAACAAGAATTATTAAAATTCCAAGTTCAGACGATGGATACTCGGCTTAAGTATTATCGAATAAAAAATATTAGCCTGACAAGAGTATCCTATTACTACTTGCACACTGTGCTTCTATTCAGAAGACTGTACGTCATTTATAACGTATTTTCATTAAATTTTAATGCATTATAATTATCGTAAACATCATAATTTATATAAAAAGTTTTTTTTTTTTTTTTCAACTAAACCTTCTAATAAACTATTTTTTAAATAAACGAACGCTATGAATATAATTATAATAGGAATAAAAATAAGTTATCATGCTAAACACGCTATTTATTAATTATGAGATGTTAGCCGAGAGTTGTACATTAACATTTCGTATTTTCATTTAGTTTAATAAAAATAAACGACTAAAAATCCTAAATGCAAAATTCAATTTTGTGTAATTCCTATTACATATATATTGTTATTTCCCTCCAATAATTGCATCATACAATAATAAAGAATATATGATTTGAAAGCAACGTAGGCCAATGCAAATTACAAGCGACTCATACACTCTCGGTATACATCGAATGAAGCAGGCCTTACAAAAAAAGATCTAGCGCTCGAATAAAAGAAAAAAATACAAATTTGAAAGAGAGAGAGAGAGAGAGAGAGAGAGAGAGAGGATGCGCAAGGGAAGATAAAAAGATGTAGGTGGAAGAAGACAATGAAAGTGATAAGAGAAGAAGGACTGGGTCACTTGGAGCGCATGAAAGCCGCTCCTCCTTTAGGCTGAAAAGCGCGCGCCGCTCGGTGCACACGCGCCTGGTCTCACACACCGCGCTCCACATAAAATCCACCCTCGAGCTCTCGCGCGACACTCCAAATGACAATGCGACATTTTTTTATTATTAAACCAGAGTGCCGAGATGCCGAGAGAATCAAGTGGCCTCCCCCTCCCCCCTCCACCACTCTCTCTCTCTCTCTCTCTCTCTCTCTCTCTCTCTCTCTCTTTCATATACCTTCTCGTTTTTTCGAGCCTTCAACCACGAGTAGTGTGTCAAAGGTGTTACAGCTTGGCAATTTATAACGCTGCGGTCGAGGAAGCCAATGATGACGATGATAGGAGGGATAAAGTGGGAAAAGGACGAGGCGATGCACTCGTTTTTTTCGGCTGCGATATATAAGTGAAGAAACCTTGACTAGAAATCAGGAATTTTATGTCTTGGGACACGATAAGTGTGTAGAGATTGTACGTAGAGAAAGTTTTTCTTATATATAAGAAAAAGACCTAAGGTTTTGTAGAAAAATTCACTACTTATTTCACTACTCGATTGATGAATTTATACTTTTCATGCGGCATTATACTTTTTTAATGAAATATTAATCTATTTTTTTTTTTAATGATTCCGCTTAAATCCACAAATTTTGATGCCATTTACGACAAATGATCTTAATTTACCTAAGTTTTATTATTAATTTGTAATGTATTATTAATTAATGTAATTTTAAAGTGCACTACTGTTTCGATAAACATCTATAATATTTCGTTTTGATAATTTAATATAATATATGGCAAATATAGCATAAGGTATATTTATGGTAATTTTAACGATTTCAAAATCATTGTTTATCTAATATTAAATTTTTATTATGGTTAAATTGAAATATTGAAATTAATTAATTAAAGCAATTAATGATTATTTTATATTTTTAATTGATATGAGAATTTGGTTAGTAATCCATATAACATAAAACTATCTTTTATAGGATCAGGAAAGTGGACGATGCACTCATTAAATCCAACAGATAATGAACATAATTATTCATACATATGTTTTACACACTAGTAGGGAATTTTTTATAACGCAAGTTATGAAATAATGTTTATAACAATGGTATGAGATATGTAATCATCACCCGTCTAATACGCAACACTGATCTTATGATTCATTTTTCATTACAATATGATAATAAAAATAAGCGCCTATTCAATCAATAGTATTATTATTTATGAATTATTATACTTTGTTTAAACTTTGTGGCTTTGATAATTTATATGAAAAGTAATGCATGTTAACTGATCATGACAGTGTTAAAAAATAATGATTATCCAAGAATTATCGATATTGCTTATGAAAAAGTATTTAAGCAAACAAAAGTCAGATTATTATGAAATCTTTGACATATCCTAATAAAAAGTTAACGTTATAATTAATCTAAGAAATGAAGAGTCATGCTATATGTCGTATTAATTTCTCTTTTCTCCTTTATTTTCTCGATAAATTTTCTTTTTCTCCTACGATTAAAATCCGCATTATTATTATATACGGTAAACAACATTCTTTTGAAACTTTAATAACGTATTCTGAATGTACATTACCATAACAACGGGTGATGAATGAAATTTCAAGTGCTTAAACTATTAAATTATATGTTTATAAGTAGAGCAAATATTTGGAAATATATTAGGATAAATAATTTAAGAAATAAATTGTTGCTAAATCACTTGAAGGCCGTAAGCCTTTCACCTATTAAGAACTTCACGCGTGTCCAAAGCGTCAAAGCATGTTAAAGTATAAAGTACAAAATAAAAAAGAAAAAAAAACAATCTAAATCAGATAAAGTAGATTTTCACAAACATCAAAGATTCATGCGAGACGGCGTTATGCCACTCGACGCAAACTAACGAGGACCTGTTAAACTAATGAACTCCTGCATATTTTCCTAGCCCTAGCGCACTCGTTTACCTTCTCATGTGCCTTATTATGCTCGATTTTTTCCTTCATAATCCTTGTCATAGCGAGGCTTTTCAGGAATCCAAGAGCACGAGCCACGTCCTTGCTCGAGTTTCCATGCGGATGTATTAGGTCAGGAATGTCAGGGTCTCTTAATTAACGCCATTTCAATAATTATTTTTATTTTTATCCCTCGCTAGGCTTTCGATAGGAACCCTTCTGCGCTACACTTATTCCATTCGCCTTTATGATTTTTTTTTTATGTGAGGGTGGAATCGAGGACGAAAGTCAATTGACAGAAAGGCAATAGGATATCGACAGCTTTTGTTGGCGTTTCATTTGTAGTCGAAGAATAGATTTGTTTGCTTCATTTTATTCTAATTTTAATTATTTCTATAAAGCTCCAAGTGAACTATTTGATAATGTTTTGCTTTATCCGCCAAATGCCATTTATCATTATAAAAGTAAATATATAATATTAATGCTTTTATGTTGAACTTGGTGCGTTTTTTTTTCTCTTGTTGAATCGATAGTGAATAAATAAATAATTTATATTTTTATGCACTATTAACACAATTTTAATCACTGTATTAATACTTTGATATATACAACATTAATATTATGTATTTATATAATTATTATGGTAAAAAAATTAAAAATTTTATAGCGAAAAACATTGTATGACTATCTGATACTATTTTATCATTACATTGAACATCGTCAGCACACAATTATATTATACATATACGTAAAAATGTATTATTCTCTTACGCATATTAATACATGTACTTGTTAAGTATGAAAATATTATACGTTGTTTTGATTAAAAATTGCCTATAAAAATTGATATTTCCAATATTATATTAATTCGGATTTGTTAGACTTAGGCGTGTGCTGTGTCACTCAACAGACATATATGTTTTCTTATACATTCAGCGCTATGTTAGTATTGTAAATGAAAAAAAAAAAATGATGAAAAAATAAAATAATAATAGCGTCATTTGATAAGCAAACAATCGAACGAAGAAGTGTAAAAACTCACCATGACCGTATGGATTCAGAGTAGCAACTCGTTTCAGGGTTCAACATTTTTCTATCACTTTCCGACCTGCAACAAAGAAAACCACATCCAGTCACATTAATAAATCAAAGTTAACGAGACCCACCATCCACTTATATTAAAATAACAATTATTCCATTGAACGTGATTCCCACGCGCGCGCTATAGCAATCCAATCGGGAATCATAAAGTACGATGAAGGATCGCGCTCGTCAAGCAGTAACAATAAGATTGAAAATTGCTAGCGCTGCTGGCAAACTCCCTCATTACCTCGATTAATTAACGGGCAAGGATTACTCGTTAGTCCGTGCGCTGCGAAGACGGTCGTAAGGCAGAAGCGTGAAAACAGAAAAATCGCCGGACGCCAGGCTGCTCGCGACATGTGCGCTGCTCGCGCTAATGACAGGTGCTCGCGCGATTGGCACTTGACGCGCCAATCGATTTATCAGCTCTCTGCCATATTTTGTCTGCCCGCCACCTGAATTATCCATGTAGGCGGGACGGCTCCCTTTGTGTCCCCGATTCCATCCGTCTCCCTGGCTATTTTGTTCGTCATTTTACCGGTTTTCGTTAGTCGAGCGTCGCGGAGAAGGTGGAGGAGATGGTGGCGTTTGAGGAGGGTGAGGAGGGAGAGTCGTGTGTGTGTGTGTGTGTGTGTGTGTGTGTGTGTGTGTGTGTGAGAGAGAGAGAGAGGAGAGGAAACGGGAACACGCGAGGCTATTTAATTAGTTTTAACCGGGAGAGGGACAATCGATACGACTGTGTAGTCATCGACGATTTCATTGGCGATAACGAAGGCCGCTTTGATGAGAAAATGTCGTCCTCGTTTGTTTTCATTGCCAATCATTTTTCATGCTCCTTGATTTTTATTACGCATTTCTCGGACAATCCACAGGACCTCATCATTTATTTATTCATATTTATTTTGTACTCGTTATTAGAAATCAGTTCTATTAGAAATCGTTATCAGGATTTTTACGTATCGAGAGAGATCCTACGTTATTTTCATTACGGTGAATAAATACTTTTAATTAAAAATTAGATGACATTCGGTGCAACATTGTTTTTTCAATTGCAGGCACATAATTTCCTGATAATAGGGCAATTAAAAGCAATAAAAATGAAAACAAAATTAATCATTATTGATTAATTAAGGTTTCACGCTGTAATATCAAAGTGATAATAAAAAAATCTTACCACATCCTGTGCATGCTATCGATCTCATGAATATTGCATATTTTAATTTAAATAATCTTGACGATGTGTAAAATATCTTATTTAAAAATTAAGCGAACATCATGATTTTATCGAATAATTAAAATTTGTTGCTAGTTGCCTAGTATGATTATGCCATGTTGACTAGTATGATATTATATTCGCACACGAGTAATTATTCATATTTAATAAGGTATTTGATGATTAAAGCAAACATTCATTCAAAAGAAAATAATTTTCTTAATTGTATGTATATTATCGAATGAGGATTAGTGAAAATATTATCGTTGTTGTGCCCAATACATGTAAATAAAAAGTAGAGAAATATGAAGGCAAAGGAAGCATCGAACAGACGCGGAACTCGTGCGTTTCGCGTCATAAACTACCCTCATCGAAACTGTAACAGAAACGATAACCAAACAATAACAATAAGAGGCTCCCGTTGCATAGGTGAGGCAAATATAAATGTGGAGGACTCCCAAGATTCCCAAGTCAGATTTGTAACCAGCGATATGTGTTCGCCATTTGATGCACAAGTAGCTTTCAAAAGAAAAAACGGTGGAAAGTTCGCGATGCGTAAAGATGCGGAGGCCGATACGATCGTGTCACGTAGAAAGCAAAAGTAAACAATGAGGAAGCAGCGCACAACGTATGTCTTTGGGCATTATCATAGTTAACACGCAACTCTACATTTATCGCGATCGACTATTACAGGAGCGGAACGCGCACATTAGGCACCTCGAGTGTCGCGGGGGTCGCGTGAGAACCCCCCGTCTTTATTAAAAGTAAAGTAAAACGGCCCTGAGTGCATAAAACGCGGGGCCAAGTGCGGAAGAGAAGGAACGCAAGTGCTGCGAGGGTGAATGGGGCGAGGGGGGGGGGGGGGGGGGGGGGGGGGGGGGGGGGGGGGGGGGGGGGGGGGGGGGGGGGGGAGCGCTTGCGGGTGAATCTTATTACGATCATTGACTGCATTGAGTTGTTACTAATAAGTGGCCTAGGGGTCCGTGTAATCGGAAACTTTTTCTTTCTCAAATTTGGATTGTTATTTACTGACTTGCTGTTTCGAATAATAGAAAGCTAGGATAATCGAAACTTTGATATCCATTCAATGCCACCTAATAGAAGATATATACTTTTGGACTACATTATCATTCTCTAGTTGGCAAAACTACATAATGTTACAGCTGGAAGCAAATTTTTTAGAAGAAATCTTCGATAGCGCGTCTAACTCGATTATTTCGTTTAAAATTTCCTCCACTGCATTGTTTATTAAGATAATAAATTTACATACGTAAGCCCAGTATTTGGTAATATTATGAAGCTGCATTTCCAACAACAACAGCAACAACAATAACAACAACAGCAGCAACAGCAACAGCAACAGCAACAGCAACAACAATAATAATAATATTGATATCGAATTATTTAAAATAATTAATTAAATTGAATAATGATTAGTATAGCAAGAAAATGGAGAAACACCACGAATGAATATCATTCAAAAATATATTGTTAATAAAAAAATTTTGAGGCTTAGTTTATTTGTTTATGCTTTTTCCATTAGAATTATAAATAATTTCATTAAATCTATGCTTAATGTTGGTTGCAACGTTGATACGATCCTCGGTTATTTCAACGTATTTTCGATGAATATAAAACTTATTCATTGTTATTAATTAATTAATTAATTGCGCGACTAATCGATAAAAAAAAAAAAAAATTGACCTCGTCTATAAATTGGACAATATATTATTGACGAGTTGTTTTTCAGTTAAATTTAATCTAGCCATCTCGTTAGTTTAAATAAATGGAGTTAAAGGCTTTGATCAGTCGAGAGTATCGTCCCGATGAACTATCGGTGATCTATCGATCGCCATGTGCCTCCGATTTCTTAATCGCCTTTTTACTCCAATTCGTCTAATCCATAATAATACTGTTTTAGCAAAATTAAACTACATGCTCTATTTACTTAGGCTCGCGATGACGGTGCATTGTAAATTTACAGTTAGCCTAGTAAATTCCTTCTTGTCGATGTTTCGGTTTTACAATCATATCGTGACTTTCGATTTAACCAGCCATTTGCTTCTTTATGCACAGAGTTAGTGAAGTGTGGGTTTTGCGAGTTTTCTGATGTTTGAAAATTATCGATGCGAAGACGAAAAATACTATTTTTTTAAAAGTTATATAAAATAAGCATCGGTTTCACAATTATTGCCGGGATGATTATCAATTAAATTCACGCCTAAAAATTATTATTAACGACAAGCGATACAGAATATAAATTTATATATATATATGTCTTATTTATGCGTTTTTGTCAATAATAATTATCCGTATTTTTAACGCTACTATAGGCTTATTAATGGGCCGTAGGCTCGATTATCGTCAAATAAAATATCAATAAATATAGTTAATTATCAACCAGTGTCTCGATAAAAAATTCTTTTCATCATTATATCGTCATTATCTGTAAATCACGATTTACACGTCAATTTATACACAACCTAATACGATCGATCGTGAAAGTATATTAGGCGAAGATAGAGTAAAGTTGCATAATCATAAATCAGCAAGACGAAGAAGGATAAAGTGTCGAGTCGCTAGAAGTTTTTCAGAAATATTTAGCAAAATCGACGTCACTCTAGAGGTTACAGGACCGGTAAGAGACAATCTCGTATTAATCGTCGAACGCGCTAGTTGCATCACGAACGGTCGCGTCGAATAAAAGTCAAGCATTAAGCATTGGACTTTCTCCAATTTCCATCCAAACCAAATATCGCAATATCGTGCGAATAAACATTTAGACGAGCAGTTCGGAATTCGCGTTAAAGGAAGACCTGGGAACGCATATTTGCAGCTCGTTTTAAGGTCACGCTATCGACGACGAGCGTCAATGGTCCTCGCTCCAGCCCGACCAAAAACATTGGACTCCCATGCTTCTTGTCCTCCATCCCCTACCCCCCTCTCAACGCGCTTCACCCTCCCCCTTTGACCGCCACCCGTCCGGTAGCAATCTCTCGGTACCACCACACCCTTGCCACTGAGAATGGCATTCCATCGGAGCTTGTACGTGTGCGCGGGAAGGTGGCCGCATTGATGGGGGGGGGGCAGAGACAAGCGGCGGACAGCAAGAGCCAGCCAACCCCTCGAATTAACGTCGCGCATAAAGGCACATTCCCACACTGAGTTCTCGACTCACGCGAAGCCGCCCGTACGCGCACGTATGAATGCTTAATGCGCCTGCGGACACTGATTTCCACCCTCCACCTTTTGCGCGTGCGGGGCTGCACGTAGCCGCGACCCTCGACGCCCTCGCTCTCGCCCTCGCCCTTTTCCCACATAACCTCTCGGCCTTTTCTCACCCGCCTCTATAGGGGCGAAGGGTGGGAGAGGGGGGGGGGTCTACCCCTCCCGCCTCGTAAAACCGCTACCCCAATCCGCTCCCCTACACAATCGACTCCCCCTCTTCCTCGTCCTCGTTGCCATCATCCCGCCGCTCCCACTCACCACACCGACAGCCACGTATTTATGGCACTCTCGCTGCGATTTTTCTCCCTGCGTTTACCTGCGCCGCCCAGGAGGGACACACCGCACTCGCGCGGCTTTCACTTTATTGGGCTTTGTGGATCCTATCGCGCCCGGAGTTATATTACTTTATGCGAGAAGCTACGTGCTCCGCTTCGAGAAAAAGTTCGTCTTGTTCGGGTGATGCGTAGAGTGATTATTATTGCGCCGCTTTCGGAGAATCGAAAGCTCGGCTCCTCGACGACACAGCTTGTAGTTTTCTCGGCTCTCGACTATTTTTTTAATCATTTTTCGAGCTGTTGGAGCAC